CATGTTGCGTACAGTAGCATGTGCTTTTCAGCTGGGCCACGTTTGTACCAATATTGGGTATGGTAGCGGTAGCTTGACACCCATTGGTTAATCATTGTCACTGCCATAGGGATCATTTTTGTTTTCAACTCACTATAATTGTGGAACATAAATTGGTTTTCAAAAAAACTAATTCTTCAGAAGAAAATCAGCTTGTTACAGTGTAGATGAAAATTTGGATTTTTTGTTTAACCACTTCGCGCCGGTGGCAGTTATCAATGTTGGTGATGCTGGGGCAGGATAATTATCATTTTTTTCTGTTTTGAAAATTCTTTTAAAATTGACATCTTCTTTTACTGGCCACTTACACCCACAAGAAGGACTGTCTGGTTTCTACTCTAATCCGACAGACAGAATCTATTGATGCCCGAATAATTCAGCCAGGCCTGCAGCATTATAAAAAGAGTCCAGATTGTTCGGTGTTACGTAATTTCTTTTGTTCACGAACCTAGCAAAGTGCGCTGCTGACCTCTTTTGAATAGGGGCCAGATTAGCGTGCAGCAGTACTGTGTGGTTCATCGCTGTGGTGGTGGAGCGCTTTTGTTCCCGGTGGTAATCCACTTGCTCTAAATGCCCCAAAACTGTGGTATACTGTTTCAAAACAAGGCTAGATTATCTCCACTTTTGAGAGTGAAAAAATGTCAGTAATGCCCAGCAGCCTGGTCTTTTGTTACGAGTACAGTCTTTTGTTACAAGGCCCAGTTCCCTTTGTCTGATTTCGGAGACCCCAGCCACGCGTATAAAGAATACGTGTCTGGTACCGGAAACCCAAGTGGCAAGGGGTTAATTACATGTACTTGTATGCCTATAGAAACTTTCAAAATGATTCGGAACTATGTGTAAAGACTGTTCGACATCTCTTTTGAGTTTCGTGAACTGAACGGTGCATTTTTCAAACATTAATAATTGACCAAGCATTTCTGGACAAGTGAGTTCACTTTTGCTCTGATGTAAATCCAGGAAGACATGGTTCAGGTTGCCAGTTTTTATGTTTAAATTGTGAATACCAAATTTGCTATCTGGGAACATTTCTGTGAAAAGGATTTTTGCTGGATTATTGCCATATACTGACACAGCAATGAATTGCCAAAGAAAATAAAATTTGCCTTAGCAGTGATTAATAAATTCTTGAAATTTTCTGTGCACAAATCAGTGCAACATTGTGCCTTGGATGACATTATACTTCTGCTCATGAATATGCATATTGCATCAGCATAAAAACAAAAAGCATCAAAATATGGGTTAAAATCGCAAAACAAATATTTAAAGTGAGGCTAATTGAAACCCAAAGATGCAATATCAGGGGTTTTTAGTTAAATTTATAAAAATATTTCTATTTCCTGGTTTCTTTAAACCAATTCAGAACCAGGAGAAGTGTTGCCATAACTTTTGTCGATCCTAAAAGTCCAATTTAAGAGTTTAAATTTTGAAAATAATTTTTGTCATCACCTGCACACATGGTGGGCAAAGTCACCTTTTATTTGCTTTGGAAATAAAATGTTAGTTTTTCTATTAATATCTCCATTCTTTATGGGGTTTTGGGATGGCTTACCTATCTCAAAAACCCCACATGCCAAAATGTGTTAAGCCTTTTGAATTCTCCTTGAGGTAGTAAGCATTTGTATACTTCAGAGCTTTGATTTATGACAAAAAGTATGACAAAAATGCAAAGCCAGCACCCTGTGCTTGATTGGTACAATAGTGGCACCAAACACAGCACAATTGGTGACTATTATGTCATTTGTTTGAAGAAGATGTACATGTTGTTACATGTACCTCGTGGAATCAATCCTCACAATTAGTTTACAACATGTAGTTGCTAACCACAGCAGTGGTTATGTGATACATTTATATCTTTTGATTAGACAAGGACCATTATGTTTCCTACCAATAAGTATCTCTAAAGTCCATCATTGTACAAGCTGTCAGTGTCAGTTTTTTCATTCTCATAATTTTCCGGCATTGAGAATTTCTTCTTGTTTTTCCTGATGCAGCTATCAGAGTATTAAGTAGTCTCACACTTCTGCTTCTTCTAGGTGGATTTTGTTCAGTTGGCAGGCCCTACTCTTTGTTGTTGCTATACTTGTACATTGTGCCGAATTTAGGAGCTGCCTAAAGAAAGGATGGAGGGGTATTAAATACGGGCAATTCACAATGCTGTTTGCCACCACAAGTTTCCTGCAGACAGGCCACTAAGTTTACAGTCAACACGCTGCTGCAATCAAGTGCACTTCATATACATGTGCTTTGGGGATATTTGATTGATTGCACCACACAAAACCATAATTTTGACTATGTAACACCCATTCGCAATAAGCAATGTCATATTTTAAAGTTTTCTGCTCACAGTGCAATTAGCATATGAGACTTTGCTGGCTATTTATCCCATGATGCACTGCGAAAAGGCCTCTCCATGACAAAGTCATGATGGTGCACTGCATTGTGGATCGCCTGTGTTGCACATCCTCACCTTTCCCTGTTTGTTTATTAGCCATCTGATGGAGTCCCTCATGAAGAAGTATCCATTGATCCTGTGACCCAGTCGTGGTTTACTAGTAGAGACTCCAAAGACAATCTCTCCAAGAAAGGTAAGAAAAGCTCAACAATCAGAATCTATCTGGGCATAAATGTCCTGCCATATTAAATGATATGTACACCACTGAATGGCCCTCTTGTTTTGTAGTTGATAAATTTTATGTGACATGTACACTGTATATGTATTTTGTTTAAAAAATGTTTTTAATGAGAAGCTCTCAAGAAGTGCATGTATTCGGGAGGAAAGAAAAGAGTGTATTCCATGGCTGTCTCTACTACATGTATGTCCCTGTTGGATTGGAATTTGTTTGATTCAACCCAGTTAATGTACACGTATGCCTTGTGAATTTTTCTCCTGCAGGTCATAAATGGAAGCAAGGCATGTGGTCAAAAGAGGAAGTTGATATCTTGGAAAGAAACATTGAAGAATATCTTAAGGTACCTTGATCTGTAAAGTGAGAGTACTTCTTTCCCCTCAGACAATTTTTCTTGTAATTCTTTCTCATTTCTGTTGGATAGGAATGGATTATCCTTGTATTTTACTCTCAAACTAATGAACCTCCCCCATTTTACCAATTTTTGATATGTGAACTTTTGAGACTAATTGAAGTAAAAATTCTTGGTCCAGAACCATAGTACTATAAGAACTTTTATCCCTTGGCTTACATGCACATGTAGTTACATAACGTAGACTGTGCTTCTGAAACGTTACTGTCTTGACTCAGATACATCATGTTTTGTAATAGCAAGAGTTGCAAATATATTCTTTTTTAAATTCCAGATTCGAAAACTAGGAGATGCTGTATCAGTAATATTTCAGATGAGTAAAGAGGAGAGGAAGGACTTCTATCGTTCAATAGCTAAGGGGCTTCAAAGACCCCTGTTTGCTGTTTACAGGAGGGTCATTCGCATGTATGATTCCAAGAACCATGTTGGCAAGTAAGTGCCAAATTTTCCTTTATAAGGAAAATCTGAGGGGTTTCATTAAGTTCTTCCACCATAGGTTTAAACTGGTCTTCCTTGGAAACTTATTTGATCTTCCTTGAAAACTTATTTGATCTACAAATATAACCAGTGTTACAGAATGTTTAGCAGCTTCCTAGAAAGACCCTCAGCTTTGTAATAATAGTGCAAATTGCAATTGAAAAGGAATTAAATTAGACATACATAACTGCTTACTCCCTTTTGGTTAGGATACACCCTCAATCCTTCAAAATCCTCCAACTGCCCCCATGAAAAACTTGGATACAGCCTCACTCCTCAAAACCTATGATACATGTATTCTTGAATATGTTCTGTGGAGAGGTGCCCACAGCCTCAATCCTTCAAAATCCTCTGGCAATTGCTCTTGTTGTGTTGAGGCAGTGTATAGAGCCAATGTTTTTCTGTGATCACGGAAAAGGGACGGAATTCACGGAATGGAAACCACTGCTTGAAAAAACTTTCCAAAATTTCCCACTAAGAATGGCTTAAAAAGTTTTGAAAACTTTCCACAAAGTACTACAAATAAAATGCCTACCGAACCCTCTTAAAATGCTTGCTTTTAATTATGCTGGAAAAATGCTACATGTAACTTGCATCACTCCACCACAATTGGGTCGTATGTGCCAGTACTGATACTTGGAAGCACTATGGCGTGCATGAGCCTTAAGTGTGCAGCAATGGCTGGCACAATGGAGCGACACAGTACGGTATGCACATTGGCTGTTCACACTTGCACCGTACAAGCAATGAAATCAAGATGCAAACAATATTCTTATTGCACATGTGGGGACTTCAGTCTGTGAATCTGCATAGATGCCTTGAGGCAAGACTAGTAACGGAAGTTGAAATGATGAAACCGTGGCTGCAAATGGAAGACTATGAATTAAAGAAACCTAGTAAGCTTGGTGTACCATAGCTGAATGGGCCCTAGGAAGTGCTTGATGAAGAGCAAACTTTTCAGTCACAAACATGCATTTTAAAGCTCAGATTTAATGTCAGCTTTCTGAATTTTGTTGTACTACTGCCAAATAAAATGGCGAGTCAATGTCCAATGTTAACATATTTTGGTCTGCTACTGTTGCATGCTAGAACCACCCCATGATTTTAATGTACATGTAATTTAACTGTAATCTGATTTTATACACAAGAAGTGACACTTGAATTGTCTGTTAATTAATCATAGCAAGGTTTTGACGATCGTGCTAGTCGGAAATCAAGGGGGAAATGCTGTATTTATTGTGTGGATTTTTTGTTAATTTTCACTACAGAAAATTTTTTAAAAATGTTGGAAACATTGCAGAGTATTTCCAAACAATATTTGTTTGTTTTTTATTGGGGGGAGTATCGTTGGGTAAACGATTTCCATATATAGTTTAAACTTGCTCTCCTCTTTCATGCTTACAATGGTAGGAAGCGGAATTTGAATATCTGAAACGGAATTCAGGATTTGGCAATTGGAAATACCCATTTTTGAAATGGAAAATCATTGGCTCTAAAGTTATAACCCCCAACCTTTAGACAATGCATCGTTGGTAATCAGCAGTGCAATTTTTGGCGTGCAGCCAAAATCCTCCAAAATCGCTCCAAGGATTTTGAAGGATTGAGGATGGTTAGGGTTAATACATGTTTTAGTAGCTTTTTAATTTTAAACCTGGAGGGATTTCAGTGCTCCTGAATCAATTACCTCTGGTACTTTTTAAACTTTGTTAAATTTGTTAACAGAACAAAAATTGGGTGCACCAAATCAGCAGACTTGTATATAAACAACTCTGATTGGTTATTCCCCTAGGTGGTTTCCATAGCAACCAAGGACATCTCGTGAACATATTAATTGTCAACTTCAGTTTTGGATCTATCAGTATTTGGTCATGTTATGGCCTAGTAATTGTCTCTCCTCTAGCCCAGGGGCTATGAAATGCATATTCATGAACTTGAGATTTTGACAAGTAATCTCCTGAGAGACTGTATCCCTATTATCTCTTGACATTTATTTCCTCTTGGGAACATGTCAAGGATGAAAACAGTGGTGGGGATCAGTGTGTGTGGGGGGGCGGCACTTAACCCCTTTCAGCCAATGGACTGTAATCATACAGAAATTAAGTTGTTGATAATTAACACAAGCCTTTTCTTTTGAAGGTACACTGCTGAAGATATAAAGAAGCTCAAAGAGTAAGTTTACTGAAACAGCTAACATTAAATATGTACACTCTGTCTGTCATGCATTTTATTGTACAATGTACAGCGTGTACCTACATGAGCTGGGTTTTTGATGATGATTTCCTGGACTGTTCCTCTTCAGTTTGCCACAGATAACCTTGACCCCAAAATGCCTGTGAAACTGTTTTGGGCTTAACTGTACAAAACAATGTTTGTACTGATACCTGCATTGTATGGAAAGCCATAAAAGATTCTGTGAGCCCAACATAATCAAACATAGTCATCTTAATTCAGATTATGCCAACACATAAAATGTTGATCTTTTCCCATGCAAGTCTTGGGTTTTTAATTTTGGAAAACTCACTTATGGAAATTCTTTTTATAAGGTACATGTACCTGTACATACTGTAATCAATTATGTGACCATATGCATCTGTAAAACTTGAGACATGACAATGTGTGTTACTGTCCCAGGGAATTTAATACATTTTACAAACATAAATCAACTTTGCCAGTGCATGCCTAACCATTGTGGGAAACTTTCTGGATGGAAATAGACTCCAACATCCAGCTTGTTATCTTTGGCTCTGCAGTGGAAATACACTCACTTGATAAGATAGCTGTAGCACTTTTTAAAGGGGTTTTTACCGAGGTATTTATACCAAGGAAACCCCCCTCATAAAACTTTTGAACTGGTATTAATAAAACTACCAATATGAATATTCCTTTCTTCGTTGGTCTGATTTTGAGTTGTCTTTTAAGTCCTAGATCCCACACATTTACATCACGTTGGATCTCTAAAATAAAGGTGTACGACATAACCGAGATATTCTAGTTGTTGGTCTGAATATGTATGATGTAATCAGTATTTTCTTTCATATTTGCAGCTGTTTATAAAAACCTTTTTATGACTAGTCTTTTTAGAAGAAAGTTTTCGAGAAGATGGAATGCTTAATTGACTCAAAATGAACACCATCACCATGAAACTAATACAGAAGAGAACCTTTGTGCACGCTTCGTGCAGAGAACTTACATTTCATATAAGTTTCAATTACAGGAACTAACACACAGTTTTGTGTGTATGCCTTCAGGGAACAATTGAAAATTTCTGTATTTTGCATTTTCATGAGCTATAATATAAACACATATTAGTCTTGGAACTTATTTGTTATTCATGAAATGAAATCTTTGTCAGTTTCCTAAATAAGAATGAGTTTGTGTTAAGTGCTACTCAATTCCACAGTTTTATAAATGGGTGATTTGTGTCAAACATATTCAAGTATTTTCCTCTGAATTACATCCACAAAACATGCATTTGTAGTGTGTGAAAACTAAAATCTAGAAATCACAGATCAATTTGCCAAATGTGTGCACATGCCCCCTTCCCACCTTTACATTAATTGGGAAACCTCAATTTGTTCATTTTACAGTTTTCATGAAGTATACCAAACCAGAATGTGTCTGTTAGATCTTGATGTCACCAATGACGTGTTTTAAGTTTGCATACATTATACTGTGAAGTGCACAATTTATGCATATTTCCAATTTTTGCAAAAGTCTCAAGAAAAAAAGTACTGATGACTTGAAATGAAACAAAGACCTGGCTTGTCATGTGATTAAGATACATCATATATACAGTGTATATTCTTCAAACACGTTTGCACGTTTTAAGCATGATATTTACATGTGTTATAATCATACATTGTTTATTTCTTTATTATACCTGCGATCTGAATTTTACTGCTTGTATTTTTCATGTGTTCTCATCAATCTTGGATATGACACTTGCAATGAGAAGAAAACATACAACCTGGAAGAGAAACAATGTATTTCAACAAGTTTGCATGGCACATGCATGTTAACATGGTGAAAAATTCAGATTTTTGATGATCTTTGACCCATAATTGCCATGTAGCACAAAAATGCTTTGTCCACTGTGTTGCAAATGTGGTATCAAAAGTCACACAAGACTTCAAAGAAAAAAGTTATGAAAGGACAGTTTGATATTGGCATAGGTTGGGGGTGGTCAAATTGGCCGCCTCCCTCTCCCAAGTCTGTATATGGTTAAGCTAGTCATCCACAAGTCAAAAGGCTATCCAGGCTCAAGTTAGATGAAATGAGACATAGTCACCCCTTTGCAGTTGTTCATTCCAGTTTTTTGTGGCGTAAACTGTGGTGTGACTGTGTTGTGTAAAATTTTCTATTGATTCAATTAGGATCCTGGATATCAGGTCAAAGGTTAATACATTTAAGTGGTAAGGCTTGAGGTGATTGATGTTTATGGACAGGTTTATGCATTTTATGCAGGTTACGAGCCAAGTATGGAAATGAATGGTGTGCGATAGGTGCTGAGATGGGTCGCAGTGCATCGTCCGTCAAGGATAAAGTGAGGCTACTGAAAGATCACTGCCAGCAAGGTAATTTTAAAGTTGTCAGTGGAGCTAGTACACTGACACTGAAAAATTTTTTGTCTACAAAGTTCATCATGATTTTTCTAACTCATTTTAAGGAAGTGTCTTCTGTCAAGTCAATAGACAAGTCAAGAGAGACAGAAACTGTGATTTCACAGTTATTCATCTGTCAGATTTAGTGAAGGGACTTGAATCCTATTTTTATGTAATCTATGTTTGACTTCCCTCTGGTTTCAGTTTTTTTTAATAAAATCAAATCTAAAAAATACTTTTAGCTTTTGCAAGAAAAAAAGGGACCTCTTTGCTCTGTCTAGTCTTAAAGTCATGCCGGGAAATTCTTTTCATAAATTAGTTTTGAACATGGTTTTGAGTCCAAAGAAGAATTTAATTATGATTATAGAGCTTTGTTTCAAGATGGGAACGTCAAAAAGTTTTTTGTATTTAGTTCAAAGTCTTGGTCACTGTCAGAAGATCTGACAGTTTTTATCAGGAATGTTTTAACCACTTCCTGCCGGGGACTCCGGAATCGGAGACGTATGCTTTATATGCGTGGCCGGGGTCTCCAAACTCTGACAGAGGGAACAGGGCCCTGTAACAAAAGACCGTACTCCGAATAAAAGACCAGGCTGCTGGGCATTATCGACATTTTTCACTCTCAAAATTGGTGATAATCCAGCCTTGTTTTGAAACCGTATACCAGGGTTTGGGGCATTTAGAGCACTCCGCCACCACAGCGATGAGCCACACAGCACCACTGCATGCTAATCTGGCCCCTATTGAAAAGAGGTCAGCAGTGCACTGAGCCAGGTTCGTGAATGAAAGAAAGTTACATAACACTGCACAATCTGGGCTCTTTTTACAAGGCTGCAGACCTGGCTGAAATACTCGGATGTCATTGCAGGTCACCTGTCAACTTAGAGTAGTGCCTAAAGATTACTTCATGCGGCTATAAACGACTGTTAAATGGAATGATGAATTTTTGAAGAATTTTGAAAACGGAAAAAATGATAATTATGCCAGCCCAGCATCATCAACATTGAAAAATGCCCCGGCATGAAGTGGTTAACATGTCATGACAGTTCCAACACCGTATTGGATAACATACAAACTTGTTCTCTCGCTCCAGTAACTTCATTAACTTTATACATGAGTATATTGTTGAGTATGTGTGTTGCCCTAATTTGACCATTGCTGCTGTTGAGTAACATTGAGAGTGTGAAAAGCTAATGCAGTCAGAAATGCGGCACAGATGATCAGCATTTATAAAGTCTGACTTTGTATTTTTGACTTTGTATTTTTGGCCAGAAATAGTATTGAGTCTGGGACAAATTTGTTGTCAAGTAATACTGTCCAGATGTGGTGACGAATATAGTACATGTATGCATACATGCCCGCGGCCCCACGTTAGATTTTGGAAACTACATGTTATGTAGGGACACAGAATGGAGAAACCAGTGTTCAAGTTCTTGAAATTCGGAAATTGCATTTGGAATTATGAAGTTTGTCCCACTGCTAAAATGAAAGAACACAAAAACAGTTTCTTTATGAAGATCACAGCTATATTCAACCTGCTTGCATCTTGGGTACTGCTTCTACTGGACATTCCTGCCAATGATCTACATGTACGTAACAGTTTTGTTGACGTAATAGTCAACAAGAAAACAACAGTGAAATGTCTGGTTGGACTTTAGATTTGGAATAAGTTTTGCAAAGTTTTATAGCAACATCAAAACCAAATTTTAACATTCAGAACTGGTTCCAATTATGAAAAGAACATACCATTATCTGGAACCCCATCAAGAGCTTCAGAAATGGTCTAAACCCAGCACAGGAACTGACACCCAAATTGAAAATTCTGCTTTGTAGAAGTTGGACCATATATACATGTACATGTAGTAGAATGTGCACTACATGTACATGTTAACAATTCACAACACAAGAAAAGGTCTGTGAAATGGCATATACTGTTGAGTGAGAGGTCATAACTTTGTTTGACAGTTTTTCATGCCGTGATTTGTCTCTGCAGTTATCTTTGTCAAAGTTTGAGGACTCAAGTGTGAGCATACTTTGACTCAAGTCTTTTGATGGAGTCAAGTTGAGCCATTAGCTTGCAGTGATTCAAGTTGAGTCATTATACTTGTTGGGAGTTGAGTCAGTTGGAGTCACCAAAACTTGTGACCAGTGTTCAATGCTTTGATCTCATAAAGTATTGCTGGGTAAAGAAAGTGCTTAACTTCTCTGAAGTGTTTTGCTGCAGTAAAACGTTTCCATGCTGCATACAGGAAGGAATATTTCTCTCTAACTCCCCGTAAATAACGTCTTGTCTATCTGATGCATATAAAATTTCTTTGATTGCATATTCACAAATGAATTCTGCTTGTCCTCGTTAACAGGCTATGGAAGTCTGTGTCATGCATACTGTTTGGTCTAGGATGATC